TATGTATACACATACATAAATACAAAAAAACTCAAACCAAACCATTTGCCATCGAATGGATTTCAACTCATAGCAACCCCACAGGGCAGAGCAGAACTTCCCCACAGGGTTTCCAAGGAGTGCCTGGTGGATTCAAACTGCCGACCTTTTTGGTTAGCAGCCAAACTCTTAACCACTATGCCACCAGGGTTATAATATCAAAAAAAAAACTGATCTAATTAAATTAAATTAGGTAAGTTACAAATATATAAGCCTTATTTTTACATTTTGACATGACCTAATTTTAAAAAACATTCAGTAAACAAATACTGAGAACTAACCAAGTATACACAGCCAGAATGCTCCTTAGGAGCAAGGATGGCAAGAGAAGGACATCACACCTGGTGAAGTACAGGGTCAGCAAAAAAGAGGAAGACTCTCAACAAGATGGATTGACACAGTGGCTGCAACAATGGGCTCAAGCATAGCAAGGATTGTGAGGATAGCTCAGGACCGGGCAGTGTTTCGTTCTGTTGTGCATAGGGTCGCTATGAATCAGAACCGACTGGACGGCACCTAACAACAACCAAGTATAATACTCTACAATCTACACATATCCTTCTCCATGCCTCCAACCCACCATGAGATAGTAAGCAAAGGCACTGGCTCTGGGGTTTTCATTCCTCACCTGGATTCAAAGCCAATTCTGTCACTTGCTGTGTGACCTTGGACAAGTTATTTATGATCTTTTGTTTTAGTTAATTCCCTGTAAAATGAGGGTAATACCTAATAAGATGCTTTTTGGATTAAATGAGAAAACTTGGGTATGTAGTTCCTGGTACACAGGAGGGACTTAATAAATGTTAGTTTATGTTGTAAAATTTCTGAAAACCTAAAAGGCATTCTGGCTTGCTTTTTCTGGAAATTGCACTGATGTAGTGTTAGAAAATACAATTTGCTGGTCGCTATGAGTCACAATCGACTCGACAGCAATGAGTTTTTTGGGTTTCGGGTCTTACATTCAGAACAGCAGTTATTTTTATCAATGATTACCTAATAAAGGCACACTCATACCAAAGCAAGACTTACTTCAAGGAATCACCAAGCAGCTTGGTTTAAAGGTATGCTTTTAAACAGATAAAAATACTGACGGGGTAGGGGGTGTTTGGAAATTACCTTATTTGTCTTGAGGAAAGAATGCTGCTTGCTGAGACAGTGTGAGATGCAAATTATTTCGATTGGGTGCACTCATAGAGATTTAAGGTTATATTGCCCTAACCGTTCCACTTGACCCAGAAAGTCCTGAGTCAAGGACAGGTGTACACAGCAAGTATGGATTAGTGCTTTGTTACTAAAAATGTAGTCCGGAGAACAGCAACACTGGCATCACCTGGAAGCTTATTATAAACGCGGAATCTCAGCTTCCACCCCCCCCCAACCCTCCATCCCCGCGCCACTCCCCAGACCTACGGAACATAATTTGCATTTTAACATGATTCCCAAAGGATTCCTATTTACACAAAAGTTAGAGAAGCTCTGGGTTAGGCAATAGTTTACGGGAAGGAGTTAGGTTACAGAATGGAAGATTTCTATTTACTGAATACTTACAATGTGCCAGGAGAGTTATATGTACTATCTGCATTTAATACTCAAGAACTCTATGACATGAGCATTTCACCTCTGTGGAGAGCAGCGGGCTTGATATTGGGCTCAGGGAGGTCTGACTCCAGAGACCACACTCGGGTCCTCCGACTCGGAGCTACAGAGGTGACCACGGCTGCACGACCCCGAGTTCAGGGGACGGGACTCCTGGAGTCCCGGCGTCAAATTCAGAGCAAGAAAGCGGACCTACAAGCCCGGGAAGCAGGGCCTCCTATGCGCGACCTCAGCAGCTCACAGCAACAGTCGGGTCAACATGGTGACTAAGCCCGGACCCCGCAGCCGAAGCGGGAGCGCGGGCCGGCGCGAGAAGCCAGGCAGCAGTCGCCCGCCAGAACTGCCCCTTACCTCTCCGGCTGCCATCCATGTTCTTAGATCCTCTTGCAGCCGCCGGGTGGACAGCTGGAGCCCCTTCACTCCTTCCCGAGGCCGGGCCCAGCCCTGGACTCCCAGTCAGCCCCACCCTCGCCGGGAGCGGAAGATGTGAAAAGAGGAGCCGGCTGGGGGCTGCAGCGGCCAGGAGATGGTCGCCAGGTCGGTTGCTAAGGGCCCGTTCCACGGCGTGGGGATTGTGACGTCACAGCGCAGGGGACGTGCGCGCCCGCAGCCCCGCCCCCGTGCGGTACACAGAGGAAGGCGGAGAGCAGATCAGGATGGAGAGGAGGAGCGGGGCGGGGACAGTGCCCCAAACACCAGTGGCTGTTCTGGGAACCTGATGGTGGTCCAGAGTGGTCTCCTGGCAGGAGCCAAGTCACCAGCACTTGGCAGGCTTTGTTCCTGCAGGAGGAGGGGGGAGAGAAGGCGGTCTCATCTGGTATGTACGTCTCCTGGAACCCAAAAAAAAAGTGAAAAGCAAATGTTAGTTGTACTAGGGTAACATTTAGCCAGTTCCAAATAATTCAATTTCGAAGCAGTCGGTGAGCAGTTGGGTTAGTGAAATTACCGGAGATGAAAAACACCTACATAATTAATTCTTAACCTCAATAATTCAAACTAATTTCCTTTATGCCTTCTGAGCCTCCTCCCCTCCCCACCCATTTATTTTAAGGCTCCAGTTCGTTTTCCTTTATAAAGGAATAGAGCTGCATCATGGATAAAACATTGATTTATTCATGACTTTCTACAGTTTGTTTAATTTTGAAGAATTTACCTTTGAATCCTTGGAAATAAAATCAGAGTAGTACAGGGAGCATTCTGTAAGACAGGGTTTCTCAAGAGTGACATAGTTGACATTTTGGGCTGGATGAATATATTTTTTGTGTTGGGAGACTGTCCTGTGCATCGTAGGATGTTTAGCAGCATCCCTGGCCTCTATGCACTACATGCCAGTAGTAACCTTACTCCTAATCGTGATAATAAAAAATGCCAGATGTCTCTTGGGTGGCACTCACCTTCGCCAGAGAATCATTGCTGTAATGGAAAGAGTAGTGGCTTTGGAGCCACGCATGTGGATCTTAACTGTGAGTTTTGAATTAGTTCCCAAACTTCTCTGATCGTCAAGTTCCTTTTTTCCTAAAATGTAAAAGGCGTTACTTTGTAGTTGCAAGGATTAATATGTACATGCCTGGAAAATGGGTATTTAACAAATACTTGTTCCTTCTCTAAGACTCCTATCTTGAAAGAACTCAGGAATCCAAGCTCAAGGCAGTAGGTCAGGAACCCTGTTACAAAGAAAGGGGAATATACTAGAAATGCACTGATAGCAGCACCTGAACCCCTAGTTCTCTGAGACTAGGTTAGGGAGAGAATTAGAAGAGTGTGGAAGTGTGTGTGATGGCACTGTGGTCACAACACATGTCAGTTATTAGGATCCAGGGGCAGACAGTCACATGTTATCCAGAGAATAAAAAACTCTCTTTCCTACCTGCTCCGTAATGCTTGAAATCCCTTTCTAAGAACATGAATCCTTTTATTCCCTTCCATCAGGTAGAAAATACCTTGCATATAATAAACCTCCAGCAAGCATTTGTTAAATTGAATTAGAGCAAACACTTAAAGGGCAAACACTCCTGGGAGAGGCAACACAGTGACTTGATCCACACACGTGCCAGCTCCTTTTATGAAAGTAGACTTTAGGATGAAAAGTAGATTTTGCTTTGAAGCAGAAAAGGGCCTCCATGATCAGGAAGGGACAGCAGAATGGGAGAGGGTTCCAAAGAAAATATTGCCTGGCACTCAACTTTGTCCAAAGCCATCCTCATCTCATTATTTCTCTTTTAAGTATTTTGCTCCAATTCTTCCAAGAATGTGCATGCAGTAAGGCCCATTTCTCGCCAATTTTAGCAGTGAACATATTATCCTAAGTGAGGTTTAATTTATCCTTGGCTTTCACTCCGTGGGTATAAACAAGAGAGAAGATTTCCTTTCTGGCTGTTATTCTCAGGAGATAATCCATGACCAGGGGGCTGATCCATGCAGCTGGTATGGACTTATGATAGAGTTAGCTCCCAAGAACTCCCTTTCATTCGAGGGATCACTGCCAGCTGCAATGGGCTCGGAGAGTAGGCATTTGTGTAACATGAATTTCACATTGTTCAGAAATGATTCCGATGCTGTATTTTTGTTTACTGATAGGTAGAAATTTGTATATCTCTATTTTAGAAGGGAAAAAATTGTTTCCCAAAACGCATTGGCATGCTTACCTTTATTATTGGGTTTCCCTTTTTGGTCTTAGCTGACAGGAAGCTCAAAACTTAGATTTGTGCTCAACTGCAGTAATTATTCATAGCCTATGTTTTCTGTTTATCTCTTTAATTCCTTTTACTAGGCAGGTGGCTTTTATTCTACTTTTATTTTAATGGTCCAGTTGTACTTTTTTTTTACTGGATGAGCTGTAAGTTCTTTAGAAATGGGGGTATAAATAAACAAGATATTATACGTTTCATAATATATAGTTTAGTATATATAATATATAAGGAGTTCCTGGGTGGTGCAAACAGTTAAATGCTAGGCTACTAACAGAAAGGTTGGAAGTTTGAACCTACCCAGAGGCACTTCGAAAGAAAGGGTTGGCGATCTGCCTCTGAAAACGCTATGGAGTGCAGTTCTACTTTAAAACACATGGGGTCACCATGAGTTGGAATCGACTTGATGGAAACTGTTTTTTTTAAAAATTATATTTTATTTATTAACACATATGCGAGAGAAAGATGTGACAGTCTCCTATAGGGTTTCTATGGGTCAGAATCGATTTGATGGCACACAACAACACCAACATATATTATGGTATATACATTTGGTCTATATCTTTACAGCTGACCCTTAGTTTCATAATTCAGAGGATTCCTGGAAGTCATGTTTGTCTGTTTGGACATGCTTAGCATCATCGCTGAAAACTATCCAACGATGCGTTAAAAGCAACGGGAGACAAAAGGCCAAGATAACCTCCCCCCATTCACTGAGGTATTATGAACATACTTTAATCCTTAAATATCTGAAGGACAAAAATGAAGGAAATTTAGGGAGCTTTATTTTATATTGTTGTGCTTTAAGTAAAAGTTTGCAATTCCAGTTAGTCTCTCATAGAAAAATTATACATACATTGTTAGGTGACCCTAATTGCTCTACCTATACTGTGACAGCACACTCCTCCTTTCCATCCCCGATTTCCTGTGTCCATTTAGGGAGCGTTTTTTAAGGTACACATAAAAGGGCAGAGTAAAATTAAATGGAGTGTACATACTTTGTGTTGACCTCAGTCTGAAAACAAAATCCCTTCAGTGATTGAAGAATACTTGAGTGTTTGAGCTATTGACTATTTCTCAGCCATTCTGCAATCAAAATCCTGTTGCTATTGAATGATCTAATAACTATATGAGAAAACAGCTTTATAGCGTGATGATATTAGCATGTTACGAGGTAACGGATTAATTTGCCGTTTGTTGCTAACGGGCTTCAGGAAAGTTTGAAGCTGCATTCCTGTGAGGAAGGCAGCCATGCTAAGACAATAGTAACCTACAATCTTACTCAGGGATTGTAAGGTGCAGCTGACAATCATTTTTAAAGTGACCCCGAGGTAGATTTCCTGAAACTATAGTTAGTGACATACACACTGAGTGCTTTTTTAAAAATATAATTTATTTTTGTTGTTGTAGAGAATGTACACAGCAGAATATACACCAGTTCAACAATTTCTACGTGTACAATTCAGTGACATTGATCACATTCTATTAAGTTGATTTTTGAACATGGGAAAAATTATTATATAAACGTCCTTAGGGGATAAAAAAAATCTTCATCATTTTTAACCTATAACTTGATTTTTCTTAATTTCATTGTTAAAACAGGAGAGAAGAGGACAGGAATGACCATAATTCTCTATAAAGCTACAGGTGCCTAAAGGGAGTACACATAGTCAAAAGAGAAAGTTCATCGCATATACTGACCCCAAATGACCATTCTGAGTTCTGTTAAGGACTAGAACTCTGATATCTGAATACATATATGATCTTTCCCATAGAAAAATGACCATTCTCTGCACTATAAAAACCACATGGCATTTTCAGTTCACTTTGCAACATGCTTCATTCCACATGTTTTCATTTTTTCCTACAGTTGAAAAGAGCACTAAATTGTGGCTCTGTAAGTAGCTTAGTTTCTTACTAACAAAAGGTTCACTTATGTTGTGACACTTTGGCTAAGGCTACTGGGATTGTGGCTTTTAGGCTCCATAATAACTGCAGTTCTCCTGTGCTCCCTTTTCTCTGCACCTGTGTTCTTAAGTCTTTTTGTGCAATTAAGAGAACAAGACTGTGAAGAGAACTTAATTATTCTGTGGTTTCTAGGTGTCTTAGGCTGGGTTCTCTAGAGAAGCAAAACCAGTAAAGTGTATAAATATATATATAGAGAGAGATTATATCAAGTAAACAGCTCACGTGATTGTAGGGGCTAGAACGTCCCAAGTCCGTGGATCAGGGTAGAGGCCTCTCCCAAGTCACACAGCTGCAGAAGCTGGCAAACCCAAGATCGGCAGGTTGGAGAGCAGGGCTCCCGCTCACAGGCTGTGCAGATCAACGAATCCCAGGTTCGGCAGATAAGCTGCCAGCTCAAGTCCCAAGAAAGGGAGATGAGATGACAGGAAGCAGCCGCAGGATCCAGAAGAGAGCAAAAACCCAGAACGTCTGCTTACATACAGATGTGGGCCACACCCCCAAGGAGAATCCCTTTCATCTGATTGGCTACTCACAGTATATTCAATCATGGGAGTGATTACATTAAAACACGGAGAATCATGGCCCAGCCCAGTTGACACACAATCTTAACCATCACACTAGGTAACCTGTCCCCACAGCTTAAGAATACCATTTTATCTATTCTTCCACAGCCGATCAATTGCTGTTAGACTTTAGGGACAGTATTCAGCCTCAAGATTTATCTCCACCCAATAAACCAGAATCTCAAAATGTCCTCTTTTACAATGGTCTCACCATTAAAAAACAAAGCAAACCAAAACAAAACCAGGCTGTAGTCTATCTGGTAATAATTTTTTTTCCACTTAAAAAATAGCATTCACAGATTTAACAATTTCCAGGAGGTTCAATGAAGCGCTTATAGGTACATCAATGAT